GATAAGTATAGTCAGTGAATTTACATCAAACTGTGATGTCAACAAAGAGTTTAAATATGCAAATTAGGGATGGGAAGATTAATCGATATGTATCGATACGCGGTCATGCGCGTGCACGATGCGAGTGCATCGGTTGAGCAGCAGAGGATGAATGAAATTTTGGAAGCAAATCGAGATGCATCGGTTTTTGCGAGATGCATCGGTTTTTCCAAGATACAGCTTATATTTTTAACATAGATTGTATTTTTTATTTATTAACAAGTGTTGTCAACCTGTTTTTGGTGCATAATTTAATCGACCTACATAAAGTAAGCCTTAGCAACGGATTTGCGGATATGCACACAATACAACTCAGTGTATCAGGTGTGCGGATGAAGCTAGTGGAGCGCCCTCAGAAAGCGCGAGAAGCAAAACAAACATTTTATTCCCCACTGAGTTTTAAATCTAAAGTATGGCAACATTATGGATTTAAGGATGGACGACATGACAGGACAGATGCAATTTGCAAAATGTGCCGCGCATCTGTAAAATACGCAGGCAGTACGACTAATCTGAAATCTCACTTGAAGCGGCGCCATGGTGTTGTTGTGGAAGCATCTTCCAGTGTTCCTGCATCTCCGGCTTTCGCACTGCTTCAACTGTAGCTACCAGCTCCAAAAGTGGTGAGAAAAGCATTGCAAGTTTTTTTTCCATGCGCAACAGTTTTGTGCGTTTTACGCCAATAACGGATGTTATTGCATTGTTCATCTGCAAAGATATTCAGCCTAGTGTCACGGAGAACGAAGGTTTTAAACACCTCCTCCTGTTAATTTTTATTTAATTATAATAATAATAATAATAATATTAATAATAATAATGATAAAAATAATGGGTGTCACGGTGGCACAGTGGGTAGTTTGACCACCTCACAGCAAGAAGATTGCTGGTTTGTTATATTTTTATTAGCCTGTTGTTTACAGTGACAGTGATGTTTCAAAGCAGCATAACACTGCTAGTTCACAATCTTAAGTTTTGAATATTCAGTGGCAAAATATATCTTTGTAAAACTTGTTTTCATAGTTGAAAAGTTAAATCACAATTCTTGTTGTGCAATGCTAAACCTTTATGTTGAAAGAGTGCAAATATATATATTTTAATATATATTGCACTTATACATACTGTTTATCTTGAAAATACTTAAATAATATGTGCTATATGTTCTAAAATGGCCCTCTACTGTAAACTGACACTCTGGCTCTGAGAGAAAAGCCAGTTTGTAAAAAAAGTCTTGGTTTTGCTTGGTTAATAAATAATCAAACTCATTCAATGGCACAGCATCCTTTCTTACATCATCTCATAAACTTGATCTAATAAGTTAGTGCTGAATTATCGCATTGTATCTGGATATGGGTGTGAATCGTATCGTGTTGCATCACAATATGTCACAAATGTATCGCTAATATATCGGATCGTATTCTTTGTATCAAGATGCGTATCGGATCGGCATTATAGCTTAGATGCCCAACCCTAATGCAAATCAAACTGATGTCAAAACCTTAACATCCATTGGACATTGGCTCTGGTTTCCCCCACAGTCCAAAGACATGCGGTATTGGTGAATTGGGTTGGCTAAATTGTCCGTACTGTATGAGTGTGAATGAGTGTGTATGGATGTTTTCCAGAGATGGGTTGCAGCTGGAAGGGCATTCGCTGCGTTAAAAAAAAAAAATCTGGATAAGTTGGCGGTTCATTCCGCGGTGGCAGCCTCAGATTAATAAAGGGACTAGGCCGAAAAGAAAATGAATGAATGAATAATAATAATGTTAAAGTTTCTGTTTCAACTCACTAATGCAAATATAAACCCATGCAAATCAATCCTATGTGTGAAATAACTATGGGACCCATCCAAATCATACCCGAGAGTGAGTGTGAAAAGAACACTGATATACCTAATGTAGTGTGATGTTATGTACTGCGCGTCAGTGTCTTTTGTTTCGGTGAGGTTTTTCCACAGGCTCCTCAGAACACCGACGAGGTGACAGAATTAAATTAAACCCTCATCTCACCGTCTCCTCATCATCCATCCATCTCACTATCCCAGGGCATAATTAATTTTATCATCAGCATCATTATTGTTGTTAAATTGTTTTTTCATATTTTGTGCTCCTTCTCCAGCCCCCCCTCCTACTGTGCCTGTCATGACTATCAAGTATATGCAAATAAGCTGGAGGTGCACATTGTGAGGAGGAGAGCGAAGGAGAGAGAGAGAGAGACTCAAAGGGAAGAGAAAGCTATTTAGAAAAGACTGCATGTGTGTGTGTGTGTGTGTTGGTGGTTGGTGTCTTGCATTATGCATTCAACTGGCATTTTAGTAACCCAATTAATCAAGCAGGAGAGGGATGAAATGCAAAAAGGATGAGATCGCCCTTCACATTGATGAGCCAGGGCCAGGGCCAATAGTTGTACCACCTGAGCTCATGGCGGCCATATTGATGAGTGAGATGGCTATACGCATGTACAGTTGTTCTTTTGTTATGTGGTCTATCTCTGAATCTCTCATGTCATGTGTCTTAAGACATTCACATTTGCTTGAATATTTAATGTAATGTTAGGACATTATGCAATGCCAGTGTCAGTCGGGCAGGTAACTGATGATAGCATTAGATGGTATTATTTTGTTGGCTTGTGTTCAGATGCCCCTTGCCAAATTACAAGCTAACGTCAACCCCATATATTTAGTTACGAGATGGTGTAATATAATACAATGTCTGCTAAATGTCATTGTCAATTTCAAGCAACATCATGTTTTCGAAAAACATCATGCATCTAAAATTTCACTTCATCCAAGAACCTTATACTGACATTAAACACCAACATTTTTGGTTTGGTATTGAACAAAATCCAAAGTGTCTTAAACATCATAACATTAACTTAAAAAAATACAACTGTCTGTGGACTGCAAGACAGTGGCGTAACATGAAGGTGCCTTAGGGCCATAACTTAAAGTACGTTGGAGGTGTAACTTGAAGTTATGGAGCCATGTTAAAACTATGTTGTCGGCTGGATGGTGCTGTACATCAGTTATTAACATCTACACCGTAACTTAATGTTATCGAAACCCCATTGAACCAATAAGATCTTTTGGAAAGATGGCGGAAATGCTTACCAGAGAACATTTTCACCAAGTGTTTTTATGAGATTTCTCCAAATTTATCCTGTGGTTGCAAATAACAGTACAATGACGAGCGTGTCAAGTATGAAAGCCTCCACTACTCGCGGCTGTACATTAATAACTGTGATGGTTGGGTTTAGGTTTAGGGAAGGTGTATACGCTAATAACTGAGGTGGTTGGGTTTAGGTTTAGTGACTGTGTAGACGTTAATAACTGTGATGGTTGGGTTTAGGGAAGGTGTAGACGTTAATAACTGTGATGGTTGGGTTTAGGTTTAGGGAAGGTGTAGACGTAAATAACTGTGGTGGTTGGGTTTAGGGAAGGTGTAGACGTTAATAACAGTGATGGTTGGGTTTAGGTTTAGGGAAGGTGTAGACGTTAATAACTGTGATGGTTGGGTTTAGGTTTAGGGAAGGTGTAGACATTAATAACTTTGATGGTTGGGTTTAGGTTTAGGAAAGGTGTAGACATTAATAACTTTGATGGTTGGGTTTAGGTTTAGGGAAGGTGTAGACGTTAATAACTGTGATGGTTGGGTTTAGGTTTAGGGAAGGTGTAGACATTAATAACTTTGATGGTTGGGTTTAGGTTTAGGGAAGGTGTAGACATTAATAACTTTGATGGTTGGGTTTAGGTTTAGGGAAGGTGTAGACATTAATAACTTTGATGGTTGGGTTTAGGTTTAGGGAAGGTGTAGACATTAATAACTTTGATGGTTGGGTTTAGGTTTAGGGAAGGTGTAGACGTTAATAACTGTGATGTTTGGGTTTAGGGAAGGTGTAGACGTTAATAACTGCTATGTTTGGGTTTAGGTTTGGGGAAGGTGTAGACGTTAATAACTTTGATGGTTGGGTTTAGGTTTAGGGAAGGTGTAGACATTAATAACTTTGATGGTTGGGTTTAGGTTTAGGGAAGGTGTAGACGTTAATAACTGAGGTGGTTGGGTTTAGGTTTAGGAAAGGTGTAGACGTTAATAACTGTGATGTTTGGGTTTAGGGAAGGTGTAGACGTTAATAACTGCTATGTTTGGGTTTAGGTTTGGGGAAGGTGTAGACGTTAATAACTGAGGTGTTTGGGTTTAGGTTTAGGGAAGGTGTAGACGTTAATAACTGTTGGGTTTAGGTTTAGGGAAGGTGTAGACGTTAACGTCTGTGATGGTTGGGTTTAGGTTTAGGTAAGGTGTAGAGGTTAATAACTGTGGTGGTTGGGTTTAGGTTTAGGGAAGGTGTACACGTTAATAGCTGATGTACAGCAACATCCAGCTTGGCATAGTAACCAACAGTAAACAAGGCAAGTTTAAAAGAGAGATCTGATTAGTCATGTGGGTGTAAATCTCGCTACATTTACTTTTTTTGCAATATAGGAGGTTTTTATTTAGAAATTTGGCCTTTTCGTAACTCGTTTCACTTGCAATACATCAAAATGCACATAACCGGGATGATTGAAACCCAGCTGGTGACTGAAGGTGAGGTGTGTGTGCTTGTACAGGGAGTTATTAGGTTTGGTTAATGAGAGTAAGGTACAGGTAATTAATACTCTGGAGACTGATCGTGGAGTGGGCATAACAGTGGAGTGTGGTGTATCCTTGACAGATTAAAGAAGAACCATTCTTTCTGATGTAATACTCTAAAGAAGTCAAAGAAAAAGCTGAGAACCAGTAAAACAATGGAGTTTCATTATTTGAGTGCACTAGAACGTCATTCTAAATATACGTTTTAAAGAAAAAGTTGTTTGGAGATTGTCCGTTCAGTTTTTGGAGGTAATTTGCACAGATATTCACAAAGAGACTGTTATATGTCCAGAGTGTGTGGTAGATTGTGAAGAACACATCAGGCCGAGAGTCTCATACCTCTGCAAACAAGGCAGGCGAAGCTCTCCTTAGTTGTGCTGCCCGCGGTGTTGACTTGGTTTCTTTCCCTTGAGGCCAGTGCAGTTCTCAGAGTCTGACAGCAACATTCTTATTTTCTAGACTTTGAGATGCCTTCAGCACCTCTACACACTTTTCCAAAATGTCTTGCAATCCAGCATTTTATTCTCTGTAAAAAGAGTATGGGGAAATACAACTGTTAAATATTGTTTGTTGATTCATTCATAAATTTTCTTGTCGGCTTAGTCCCTTTATTAATCCAGGGTCGCCACAGCGGAATGAACTGCCAACTTACCCAGCAAGTTTTTACGCAAAGGATGCCTTTCCAGCCGTAACCAATCACTGGGAAACATCCGCACACACTCATACACTACAGACAATTTAGCCTACCCAATTTACTTGTACCGCATGTCTTTGGACTGTGGGGGAAACCGGAGCACCCGAAGGAAACCAACGCGAACGCAGGGAGAACATGCAAACTCCACACAGAAACGCCAACTGAGCCGAGGCTCGAACCAGCGACCTTCTTGCTGTGAGACGAAAGCACTACCTACTGCGCTACTGCTTCGCCCTTAAATATTGTTTGATTGTATTAAATATTGCATACAATTAATTTGTATTTTGCTTGATTAAAGACGAGCACAACCAAAAAATATTCATGTTTAAAGCAACAAAAATACATTTAATAATTAATCAAATGAAGGCAAACCAATAACCAGGACCAGACGGAATCTGCGGACGTTTTTTGCTATTTCTGTGAAGAATTTTGGTAAAAATCTGCGGATTTCTGCGGAATTATTTTGGCAGTATCCAGCGGAGTATCATAACTAAAACCCTAATATATTAAATAAAACGTAATAAATTACGGAATAAAAACTGAATAAATTCAGATTTACACATTTACTCAAGTAAATAAATAGAATTAATAATGGGCTAAAAATCTCCAGAAATCTGCGGAATTCTGCGGAAAATCTGCGGAATTCTGCGCGTGCAGATTCCGTGTGGGCCTACCAATAACTCTAGTGTTGGCGTTTAAGCCAGGCAAAGCTAATAAGCACTCTTTTTTTCTAGAGTGTTGTCTATGTTAGTGTAAATCTTATAAATTGCATACAAATGGTTTAACATCTCTTTTCTTTTAACTTTTTTGCTTAAAGGGAATGGGAGATGAGAATCTGATTAGTTTATGCTCAAAACACACCAAGAACTCGTTAAGAGAATAAGCTCAACCCTGTTAGACCATGTGCTGCCGTGCAGAGCATATTTTTCCGTGGATTCAGACACGACATTAATGCTTTTACGCACTGCACTTCAGACTTTGCGCCTAGATCGTTAAAATTGAACCTTCAGTCTTTAGTCTTTTGATTAAGTTAAGATTAAGTTAAAAATAGTAAAATAACACAAAAGTACGGTGATAACAGTTTATAGCTTAGGAAAAAAAAACACTGATGTTTATGGTAAAGATTAAAATCACTGTCATATGCATTTAAATTGATGCTTAAAAATGAAAGTTGTAGGCAACAATTACATTATTTAACCTATAGACGGTGACAACCAGCCATCAAAAATATGCCATTGAATAATTCTTCAAAAATGATCATCTAGCAATGAAACATGAAATATTATGAGTGAATAACTGAATGATTTATTGAAAATAGGACTAAAAATAAATATGGGTTGTACAAATTACAATGTTAGATTTATACATGTAGTGTTATCAGCAACAGAGGTAGTAACAGTGAACTTTTCACAGTATTAAATATTTTAGTTTATTTTTATTCAGCTGATTATTTCCTCATTTTATTTTTGATTAAATTACAGTTTTAAGTTTTGTTTGTTCAAACCAAATGTTTTTTGCAGCACTGGTTTTGTGATAAAAGGAAAGCAAACTACATGTTTCTCCTCCCCTATTTGGTCGACCCAAAAAATGGTCCAATCAATGACTAAAAAACATAATGTGATCCAAACTGTGAGATTTGTGATTTCGTTTGTGTGAGGAAGTACTTCATTAACAGCTGAGCAAAAGCCTTGATCCATTGCCCACTCAAAAAAAAAATCACATTTGAACTAGTATTTGAATGACTTTATTGCATCACATGGAGTACTGCAATATCATAATTATGACAACACAGAGGATTCTGCCCACATATTAGGATTATTTTTATCAATTCCATTGCCTTCAACTTCAATCTCAGGAGCAAAAATTTTGCTAGGTGGATTTAAGTTTCTCAATACCTCATAAAAGAAAAACATAGTGGTAAAAAAGGTCTGTACCTGGAACTCAATGGGTATTCATGAACCTTCTCATTTTTAGAGAGGGGAAATAACTTAATACTGACAGTGTCGATAGAATAAAATGCATTCCTGGCTGACTGCAGCCCCTTACAGAAAATGAGTGTCATTTTTCTTGCCTGTGCTGGGCTTTCCAGCATCCTCATCCACAAGCTGAGAGAGTGATGACACTCACAGCATTTTCAATAAGGAGGAGGGTGCATCTACTGAGAGATTAACGCTGTTTGCTGTAAAGGTCACCACAGCAAAACAGTTCAAAACCATCAAAGTCTACAAAGAGATTCAAAATCACAAGTGGTCAAAATAGCTAATTTTTTCAACAAAATACATTCTTAACTATTTTAAATATTGGTAACATTATTGTGATGTCTAAAAGTTAAAATGTGCACACCAAAACAAAAAAAGTGTGTCATTTTTTCATTTTCCTTTGGCCTAGTCCCTTATGGTCCGTTTCCACTGAGTGGTACGGTACGATACGCTTTTATGGCCTTTTCCACTGTCAAATGGCCACTCAGTTGTACAGTACGGTACGAGTCGGTACGGGTCACCTTTATCAGGCTTGCACTTCCACTGAGAGGCTCGTTTCGATAGGCTCGTAAAACAACAACAGGCCACAGCAAATTTTGTTCTTCTTGGCTTTGTGGCTGTCCATCAAGACGACGACAAAGTTTGTTTGGGCTTGGGTCGACCATGGCTCGTTATAATATGTATATATTAATAGGGTGTAATCTCTCGGCTGTGTATTTAAAATATGGCGGTTCCTTTGTTTTCATTTTGGCTTGTTGCGCGAGCAGATGACGTATCTTTGTAAAGCAATAGCGCTCAGTGCGCGTCTAGCTCCGCCTTTTAGTACCCTTGGTACCAAGACTTGACAGTAACTTTTTTGATCACTAGCCAGTGTGGCTAGTAGTTTTCCAACATTACTAGCCAATCAACATTTTCACCAGCCACAGATTTGTTGTTGGGAAAACATATTTTATATGCATAAATATGACTTTGACATGCTAAAATTACTTGATTTGGATTTTGTGGAATGTGCACATGCCTCCTCATTCTCTTTACTTTTTGTGTATGAGCTTCCTCAGTGAGTATGAGCAAATGCGTCATGGTTTCATAGTGTTGTATTACAATTAGTTTTTATTTCACGACTTTTCAGAGCTCTACCAAATTTAACCAAATTTATCTCTTTAACCACACTAAAAATAAATAAATAATTATTTCTTGGCCACAACTTTTAAATAATGTTTTAAACAAGCAAAATATAGCTGTATACTATATTTTTTATTTAACAAAGATTTCTTTAAAAAAAAAAACAGTTGACACCAGTTTACTACACATAAATGGAAAGTTAATATCCTATATCCTGTTTGAATAATGGTGTTAAAGGGAAAAAAGAAAAACAAACTCTAGTGTGTTTCAATCAAACTAAATAAGGCAGGTGTGAAAGCACCCTTAAACACTAAATACTGTTTCAATTTACTATGATCTTTTAAGTGAAGCTGCTTTGACACAATCTACATTGTAAAAGTCCAGTACAAATAAAAGTGAATTGAATTGAATTATGGACATGCGCGATTTCAGTACATTTTCAATTAATCGCACAGCCCTACACACAGCCAATGAAAAACACACACACACAAAAAAACCCTGAAACATAAGATCCTGTTCATGTTTGGAGAAAGCAGGCTTCTCTAAAAATAACTGATTCCATGTAGCTAAACTGTTCTTACATTTCAGTGTAAACAACCACACATCCGCGCTAAGTTGTTCTCTCATACCGTTCTCCCAGAGGTAGAGAAACTGCTCTCCCACAGTATCCAGCTCCCGACTTATAATAGAAAACATGTAAATACAAACAAGTAGCGCATGTCATAAACTGCTACCTCCCCGGGGACCAGTAAAATATGTATTCTGCACTATTTGGCTAAATCAAATACTTTAAAAAATATGTTTTCAGCAAAGGACAGAGGGAAAAAAAGACTGCTTTGCACTTCAAACATCAAGCACTTGAGAAAACTGGAGCAGATTTTCTGCGTTATCCTCCTCTTCGTTCCCAAGGGACGACTGCATCTCAGAGTGCTCTCGTCACGTCACCGCAGAGACATTAATAACTGTTGTCAGAGGAGTGATCAGAAGCGCTGGCATTTGATGTGATGCACAAATAGTCCCACCGTGACACTTGTTAAAAGTCCATTGAATTCGAGCACCCTCGCTAACACCGTCAGAGTTATGTGCAAATGTTACTGACAACAAAGGATTTTTTTAATGTTATTCTGTCATGTGGTTGAGAAAAATCACAAACATTTTTAAGGTAAAAAGTTGGTTTGTTGTTGTGGGTGAGCATTTAGGCTTCCATCTAATATAGCTGTGAGAAATGTTATTTTTGGATTTAACCGTTTTCCCACTTGAATGGATCTGGAAATGCTTTTTAACCACTTTTATTTTCCTCCGCCTGCTCAGTTTCATATACTGAAGCAATGGATGCCATTTTCCCCGTATGCGATGACATTTTAAATAAACCTCCCTGGCTTTCTCGTGTCTTTTAAGTTCTTATTGTCCCACTTACAACTGCTAGTCACACATCTTTATACTTGGTTTTTGTGCCAACCCAAAAATCCACATGTGTAAAAGTGGTATATACACTCACTGGCCACTTTATTAGGTACACCTGTTCAACTGCTTGTTAACAGCAATTTCTAATCAGCCAATCACATGGCAGCAACTCGATGCATTTAGGCATGTAGACATGGTCAAGACGAATTGCTGCAGTTCAAACCAAGCATCAGAATAGGGAAGAAAAGGGATTTAAGTGACTTTGAACGTGGCATGGTTATTGGTGCCAGACGGGAGTATTTCAGAAACTGCTGATCTACTGGGTTTTCACGCACAACCACCTCTAAGGTTTACAGATAATGGTCTGACAAAGGGAAAATATTCAGTGAGCGGCAGTTCTGATGGCGCAAATTCCTTGTTGATGCCAAAGATCAGAGGAGAATGGCCAGACTGGTTCCAGCTGGTTCCAGCTATTAGGAAGGTAACAGTAACTCAAACCACCACTCGTCACAACTGAGGTCTGCAGAAGAGCATCTCTGAATGAAGAACACGTCCAACCTTGAGGCGGATGGGCTACAGTAGCAGAAGACCACACCAGGTGCCACTCCTGTCAGCTGAGAACAGGAAACTGAGGCTACAATTCACACAGGCTCAACAAAATTGGACAATAGAAGATTGGAAAAACTTTGCCTGGTCTGATGAGTCTTGATTTCTGCTGCAACATTTAAATGGTAGAGTCAAAATTTGGCGTTTCTTATGGCTACATCCAGCAGGATGACGCACCATGTCAAAAAGCGTGAATCATCCTTGACTGGTTTCTTGAACATGACAATGAGTTCACTGTTCTCAAATGGCCTCCACAGTCACCAGAGCTCAATCCAGTAGAGCACCTCTGGGATGTGGTGGAACAGGAGATTCACATCATGAATGTGCAGCCAACAAATCTACAGCAACCATATCAATATGGACTAAAAGCTTTGAGGAACATTCAAGGTATCTTGTTGAATCAATGCCACGAAGGATTAAAGCAGTTCTGAAGGCAGAAAGGGGTCTAACCCGGCATTGGTAAAGTGTACCTAATAAAGTGGCCGGTGAGTGTAATTGACCGTGAACACTGCTTTGATACTTATTGGCTGCTAATATGATTTTTCTATTACGATTCGCAAGAAACACTGCTCAAATTACATTCAGAAGACAGTCAGAATGTGTGATTATAAAACTAACGTTAACTTTAACTCAGTTGTCAAGCGAATCAGAATGAGCCGTCAGATCAGATGACTTCAACAACTGACAAACACAACTTTCATTTTTACCTCAGAGAAGACAGTGCATGGATTCTTCTGTGCTGTGGCGATTTCACCCTTGAATTTTCGCTGCTGTGTTTCTGTGTGTGTCTTTCAAACGGTGAGTCCGTTTGAATTAACGCTACAGTAAACTGTAAACGCCCGTCATTTAGACCAGACCAACGTGGCCAAAAATAACTCACCAAAAAGACTGTACAAGCACATTGGTCGCATTTTGAAAACTGCGCGCACATGCGCAGATGGCTCTTCCAAATTTTACTTTATTACTACCAAATGTATAACAGACAAATTAAATAAAAATAATAATGTTGCTCGTAATTAAATATATTAAGTGAACAATTTAATTGTCATATTTTCTGTAAGATAAATTTGAATGATTTTTTGATTAAAATAATATTACTTACTGCCCTTGTTGTTGTGAGTTTCCTCTAGGTGCTCCAGTTTCCCTCACAAGTTGAAAGAAATGTGGTATAGGTGAATTGGGTAAGCTAAATTGTCTAGTGTTTGTGTGTAAATGAGTGTGTATAGATGATTCCCAGTGTTGGGTTGCGGCTGGAAAACATACTGTATGCTGGATAAGTTGGCGCTTCATTCCACTGCGGTGACCGCAGTTTAATAAAGGGACAAAGCCGAAAAGAAAATGAATGGATGATATTACTTATTCTATTAATATTGTTAATATTACATAATATTATTACCTACTAAATAAATTTCGGATAATACACACACTGTAATTTTTTCGTGTATTTTATTAAGACGTACATCCTAAAGCTTATATAAATAGTTCTACTTCCACCTGGGGATACTCATCTCGAGGCCCTCAGATTATGCAGCGCCACTGATTCGATCCAAGACCAGCGACGAGATGATCCCAAGGTTTCCATATCCTGGACCAGGCTGTATCCTGAGCAGCTGCTGTGGTGGTCATGTAGGAATGGAGAGCATGAGGCTGATTCCTGTGATGCTCCAGGGACTGACGAGTCTTCGCTGAGGTCCAGCTTCCTGCCTCCTGTGCCTTGTCTACAGCTCTGCACAAGACAAATATACAATAACCGGTGACTTTATTAGGTACACCTTACTAGTACCAGGTTGGACCCTTTTTGCCTTTAGAACTGCCTTAATCATTCATGGCATAGATTCAACAAGGTACTAGAGACTTTGCTCCATATCGACATGATAGCATCACGCGGTTGCTGCAGATTTGTCAGCTGCACTTCCATGATGAGAATCTCACGTCCCACCACATCCCAAACGTGCTCTATTGGATTGAGCTCTGGTGACTGTGGAGGCCATTTAAGTACAGTGAACTCATTGTCATGTTCAAGAAACCAGTTCGAGATGATTTGAGCTTTATGACATGCTGCGTTATCCTGCTGGAAGTAGCCATCAGAAGATGGGTGCACTGTGGTCATAAGGGGATGGACGGTTGGTTTGAAATTTGCGCCAAGCAGTTGGACAGGTGTACCTAATAAAGTGGCCGGTGAGTGTATAACCAACTTTACCTCAATTTAATTTTTTAGATCCTCCACCGTGGAGGTGAAGCATGCTTGCTAAGTTTCTAAAGTCATTTGATGTGACCTATGTGCTGCAGGATCCTTGACGTTGTCTTTAGAGTGAGGGGTTGAAATGGACTCAATTGAGCGCATGGGCAAACCGTGAAATTACCCTGACAACAAAAACCTCCATTCATTCCACTGTTACCGAGACCAGCTTCTTCATCAGAACGCCACATTACAACACTCCTCCTTGGACTACGCCAACCCCGTATCTATTCCCTTCTTGTTGTCTTCACCTTCCCCTTTCCGTTTCAGGTTTTTGTGCACGGAGTGGAAAAGATCATATTTATCAGCTGTCAGACTCTGGCAGTTCTGAGTTACGTGAGGCAGAACAGCATAAAATTATCATACACAGGCATGAAATTACAAAACCGCCCGGGGACACCTAAAAAAAAAATCGTATTTCTTCCCTTCCCACCTACAGCTCCAAAAAGATGGATTGATTATAATAGAGATGCAGAGATGCAGTAGATGCAGAGCTGTAGTGCTTTAGTCTGATTATTAATGTTATTCTCCCATTTTATCAATGCATAGGGCAAAAGACAAGAGCACTTCTGATTTAACACAGGATTTATTTGTGCAAGCATAAGATACAGTTTTGTCTTATTTTGACTTCTTCGTCATCATTTGTTTGACCTTTGCAGGGATGGGTTTTGATGTTGTAACAAACGATTAACTTCTTTCTCGTGATGTTTAATTTCAGAAAGCAGAAAACATCAATAAAAATATATACAAATGGTGGATTGTAAAGATCACCTATTAGGCCCCTATTTACTAGATGTAAAATTAGTCTCTGATGTCCCTAAAGTGTGTGTGTGTGTAGTTTCAGCTCAAAATACCACACCAAAAATGTGTTATAACTCTTTAAAAGTGCACCTTTTAGGATTTGATCCAAATTGTGTAATTTCGGTGACTGTCACTTTAAATTTAAATGAGATTGTGCTCTTTTTAAAAGAGGGCGGAGCTACAAATGGCATTGCATCAGCATACTGGCAGATTTAAAAACAAGATTAGCGTCCTATGCTAATGAGGGAGCGATCGTCGCAGTTGGGTGTATTGTGTTCTACAGTAACGCGTTACTGTATTATAATTAAATTTGAGGAGCGCAGTAATGTAACGAGTTACATTTTAAATTTGTGTAATTTGATTACAGTTACTAAAGTCAGTGTAATTGCGCTACAAATATAGTTTTAAGTACGCTATACGCTACTGTATTTGAATACTGGTCATATGGTGATACTTGGAGGGACAATTTTTTCTGAGGTAGTACTTAATGAAAAAATTTTGAGAACCACTGTTTTAACGTGTTAAAAAAAAGAAACAAGTTTGGAAAAAGTCTTGGGTGAAGTCTTTAAGTCTTTTAAATATGTCAAGCAGCTGTGATCAACCCATTGTAATGTTTTTCAGTGAATATTAAATCACTCTAAGAGCTGCCGTTTATTTATATTTTTATAAGTAAATTTGATGTAAAAAGTAATTTTAAAGTAATTAGTAATCTGATTACTTTTTACATAAAGTAATTCGTAATGTAATCAGATTACAATTTTCCAGTAGTAATCAGTCATTTGTAATCTATTACTTTTTTTTTTAAAGTAATTTACCCAACACTGCTACTGACCGAGAGATCGTTACTTATGGGCAGGGCTTTCCCCCTCTGATGACATGTACAAAGTGAGAATGTCATGTGTGATTATAAAAATACAATTAATATATTTTTTTTACCATAAGAAGCTGGTTATATCCACACAGTTTCCACACAACCCCTTACAAATGTTATTTCTGCATAATTTTGCACAGCTGTTTCATTTTTTTGCTGAACTATCCCTTTAAAGAAAAATCTGCGATCAAATGAAATCTCTGTGTGGTCACAGTTGTTTCTATTAGACAGCAGTAAATGGAGAGCAGATAATTGATTTAGCAAAATCACACAGATGATTTCATGCTTAACTTGTCATTCTTAGCATTAGCATTCAAACCAGTCCAGCTCTGTTTTAGTATTGGTCTCTGTCATACACACTGAGTAAAAATGTAATTAAATTACATAAATACATAATACACAAGTCAGTCTATGCCTTATATACACACTTTCCATTCTCAATCGCCCTCTCTATCTGGCTGTCACTCTCTCTCTTTCTGCCTCTTCCTGGTTTTGCCTTGCTGCTATGTCTCATTTGAATAATTCAGTATAGTACTAGTATTCTCCAGGGTTTCACCCAGTGTGGCAGCCAAGCTAGAGAGAGAGAGAGATGGTGAAAAGGTGCAAAATAGGAATGGCAAATGCCACAGTGAGGCTTCCTTGCCTGTTGTTCTAATGAGCCACAGGAATATATATATATATATAGCCCAATACACACACACGTGCACACACGCACGCACGCACGCACGCACGCACGCACGCACGCACGCACGCACGCACGCACGCACGCACGCACGCACGCACGCACGCACGCACACACACACACACACACACACACACACACACACACACACACACACACACACACACACACACACACACAGAAAGAGATATTTAAATTGTCCTCATTCTATTTGACAACAACTTTAACCTTTAAAAAAGATCACTACACCTTAACCCTGCCTGTTCTCCACTGACTTTCTTTAGAATAAATCAAAAGGTTGCCATTTTTATCTGTTCCGAACTGTTTCTTGAAACTAAATAAAATAGATTAAAAGTTGTAATTAAAATAATTAATCAAATATATCAAAACCAGTCTCTGTGTAAAATTCTACCAAGACAGGGAGGAAAATTCAATGCTCCACTATGGAAGAAAAATTTAAAAAATAATTAAATGTGAAGCAAGGTTGCCAGGTTTTTGCAACAAAACTAGCCCAATGGCCAGTAAAAAAATACATTAAAACTACCCAATGGCCAGTTGAAAATACACCAAAACTACACCAAAACTACCTATTGGCTGGTCAAAAATACACCGAAACTAAAACAATGGCCTGTTGAAAATGCACAAAAAAACAGCCCAAATGGCCAGTAGAAATAACACCAAAACTAGCCCAATGGTCTGTAAAAAAATACACCAAAAATAAAAGTAGCCCAATAGCCAGTCGAATAAATACCAAAACTAAAAGCAGCCCAAAGGCCAGTCAAATATACACCAAAAATAGAACAATGGCCAGTCAAATATACTCCAAAACTAAAAGTTGCCCAATGGCCAGTCGAATATACACTCAGACTAAAAGTAGCCCAATCGCCAGTCGAATATACACTAAACTAGCCCAAAGGCCAGTCGAAAATACACCAAAACTATCCGAATGGCCAGCCGAATATACACCAAAACTAAAAGTAGCCCAATGGTCAGTCGAATATACACTCAGACTAAAAGTAGCCCAATCGCCAGTCGAATATACACTAAACTAGCCCAAAAGCCAGTCAAAAATACACCAAAACTATCCGAATGGCCAGTCGAAAATACACAATAACTAAAAGTAGGTCAATGGCCAGTCAAAAATACACCAAAACTACCTCTCTTACCAGTCAAATATACACCAAAACTAGCCCAATGGCCAGTCAAATATACACCAAAACTAAAAGTAGCCCAATGACCAGTCGAATATACACCAAAACTAGCCCAATGGCCAGTTA